CTCTGGTGGCTGAGCCACAGTGCCTGGCTTGTGGACCGCAGCATGTTTGCTGTTGGGCTTTACAAGCTGTCCTGGGTCTGCAGTTTGGGATGGAGCCCAATTCAGCCTATCTCTCCATCAGTCTCCTCCCAAGTGGCTCCTCAAGATCCTTTTGTCTAAGGAGTTGGGTAGACAGATGCTTCTCATCCTTAGATTGGATCATTAGGGGCTGGATTCTCTGCAGAGGAGGTTATGCTGGATGGAGGCACACATTCCTAATGGGTTTTTTTGTTTTGTTTTGTTTTGTTTTTTGGTATCAGAACTATCAGAAGTTCAACAGGAAGGTCCTGGGGGTGCCCTATGGGGTCAGAGGGGCTGTCTTCTCACACAGCCCTGGGGAATTCTATGGAATAAAACAGCTCTTGATGGGAGGAGCTGCAATGCCCATCATGGGATGGGGATGACCTGGCCCCAAGATCCTGTGTCCCCAAGGTACCCACCCTACTTGCCCTTGGATGTGACTTCTTAGGCTGTTAGTGGACACAGTGTTTTACTGCCTGCTATATCTTATCAATTATGCAAGAAACCAACTCTGGAAAGCAGGCCAGGAATCAGAGGAGGCTGTCTCAGTGATACCTAAGGCAGACTTCGGTAACTTTAGGGTGACATGTCATTTGGCCTCTGGGGAATGGTATGGCCAGTCTCCTGTTGGCTCCTGGGCCACGGGATGATTTGCTTAGGTAGATTTCCTTGACAAAGAAACCTCCAGAGCCTAGGAGGAATGTAGGGAGGCTCTGCATTCATAGGGATATTAATAGACTCCTAGGATATGGGCCGTCAGAAAAGAACCCGGAACCGTCTTTCACACTCCCCTCGTTTTCTCTTGCTTTGTACAGAGGCTTATAGTTGAGAGGAAAGAACATTGTTGAAGGGGTGGAACAGAGCTGCTGAAAATGGAGCAGGGCACCTTGGGAAGCTGTTCATAGCAGTTTGACCCCTCACTACATAGCTTCTTTTCCTGTCGGAGGGTACCTTGTTCATTTCCAGATACCATGAGCAGCGAAGTCCAGAACAGGCTGGTGACGTCTGGCCCAGACTTGTTATTTTGGGGACAGGCTAGGTTGACCAACTCAATCAAGGTTTTCCCAGGACTTTCCTGGTTTTAGCATTGAAAGTCCTGTAATCTGGAAACTCCCTTAGTCCTGGGCAAACCAGAACAATTGTTCACCCTAGGATGGGCCGGGGTGCCGTATGCCTTATCAAGACCACTGGAAGCACAGGCCAGAGGGATGATATCCTGCCTTCATTGTGAGACCTGGGCGGATTGCTCCCTTTGCCTGTAAAATGGGGGCAAGAAAATGCTATGCTTCCTTCTCAGGCTTGATGGCAAAACTGAGGCCAGAATCCCTTAGTTCTTTGTTCTGCCCAGAATGATCTCACTTAGGGAAGAATCTGCCACATTCATTTTGGACTTCCTGGTGTATTTTCAAAGCTACTTTCTTCTCTGCCTGGAATCCATCTCCAGCATTATGTCTTTCTGTCAGAGTAGTGTGGTGATGTTTGAAATGGTGGGTTTTTCAAGTAAGAGGAGAAACAATGGGCCTGGGTAGATTAGAGAGCTTGGCTACAGAGGGCAGAGTGCGTACTTGGGTGAGGAAGCAAATCTGTAACACAGAAGCTACCCTGACAGCTGCTCAGCCAGAGGAAGGCTGTCTTGAGTGACAGAAATGACGATGTCCCTTCACCCTTCTCTGCTCAGCTGCCTTTGGCCCAGCTGCCATGAGAGAAGGATCATGAGACAGCTGCACATTGGGGGTTGAATGAAGGCCTGGAGGAGAGGGACAGAATGTGAGGCAGTTCCTGAAACACTCAGACTTTGACCCTGTAGGTGGGAAGACTAGGCCAGCCAAAGTCGTTTCCCTGGCTCCAGGAGTCTCCACAGTGGCTGTTTTGGGGAATTTGGCTCAGTAAGTCTGAAACCAAGACCTGTTTTCTGGGATGGAGTAGTGTCTAGCTGAAGAAGCTGACTCCACAGTTGGCGGCAGCATGGTCATTTGGTCTAAGACTCTTCTCCCATTGCTCTATACCCATTACACACACAAATGCTTAAGGCATTTGAAATAGTCACAGTTGACAGTTGCTGGTTTGGTGTTGATAATTTTCCTCTAACCTGAGATAATAGCTGCCATTCATTTTGGCAGGAGTCTCCACAGTGGCTGTT